ATTAAAGTATTTACAATAAAGTTAAAAATAAAAAATAGTACAGTAAAAAATAGAGGTGTGTTGCAGCTTGTTTCACGTGTGTTGCAACATGTTTGTCTTTATGCCATGCACTGTGATATATTGTATGTTTTTGACAATATTATTACTGTCATATGACAACAATTGAAGCAAACTTCCAATAGCATCTATGTTAGACTAACGCTATTAGTTAGTTGAAGAAGCTTACTTTTCCTGGTTGGGACGCAAAAACAGATAGCAACTAATGATAATGAATGGCTTTAAACACATTGAAATCCCTTTCACGTTGAAAAAGAGTGCATGATGGTGCCTTAGTGACCTCATCAATCGGCTCGGCAAAAGAATTCACAAATGTGTGTTGTAAAAGTAATGCTATATGATATATATGGCCATTGCGGGCAGTGAGATCATCTTTCATCAACTCAATTGCTCCAGGATGACTACTCTACCACCTAGTCGCATTTAATTTCTTTTCTTTTTCTTTTTTATGTGGCTGAGTTTTATTTGGGTTGAGTCATGTAAAGCGAGCACCAACCACGACCAAGTTGTTTGAATTTTTGTTTTTTGTTTTGCATTGTATGATGATAAGCAGACCTCACTATACGATTTTCCATAACTCCAAAAAAAAAAAAGGGTCAATGATAGGAAGCCATTAACAAATTGAAGATGTGAGTGAGTGAAAAAGACATCAGCAATAGCAGATAATCTTTTTTGGCCAAAAAAAAATTGGTAGATCATCCTTTTTTTTTTTAACAATAGTAGATCATCTGATCTGATTATGTTGTTGCTTCTCACTTTGTTTTCTTCCATCTTCAATGCACGCACGAGTCACGACATTCAAGTTTCCGAACTTTGTTCATCCAAAAATCCATCTCATCATTTTATATAATTTGATTGATTTCAAATTCTAATATATCTACAGATTTATCTTCTGTGTTCATCAGATGATGAAATTTGAATCATTCAAATTTAAAGAATTAATTTTATAATTTTATTTTATATTTTTTTAAAATAAAAATTACAAAAAAGTTTTAATAAATATTTTCATGAGTTATCTAGTCTATATTTAATTTGAAGTGTTTAACTTAATAAATTTTTTATATATTGAATATTTAAATATATTTTGTATAGTTCAAATTTTAAATTTTTAACTTGTAATTTTTTTAAAAAATATTTTTTAAAATTTTTATCAAGGTTCATGTTTAATGCCTCATCATCCTTGTGAGTACCATGGTGCTCATCATTAGGGTATAAATAGGTCAGGTTGAGTTAAGTTTTGACTAAATAGATTTGAGTCTATGTGGTAAGTCAGAGGCCTAAAACTTATATAAAGCTTTTTGTATGGCTCAACCCTGAGCCTATTTAAAGCCCGGCCTGGCCTGAAAATCTATTTAAAAGTAAACATTTTAAATAAGCTTGCATTTTAGTTTTAAAAGTCTCAAATATACCTTAGAACTATTAGTATATTATATATAACTTAATTTATTAATTATAATATATAATAATTAAAAGGATTTACCAACTATAATACAAGACAATAATAAAGTAATAACATTAAAATTAATATATAAGTCCAGTATGATTGAAAACATAACTAGAAATAAAAAAGAATGGACTAATTAAAAATTAAATAGTAAAACTAATGTACATATTATATATTACATAATATGTGTGTGTGTAAATAGGCTGGCTTATTAGGCTCATAGGTTAGATTTTGAAAAAAATAAGCCTGACCTATTCAATCAATTAAAAACATGAACTTGTACTAAATCTATTTAATAAATAGGTTAAGTTGGGTTCGAAGTAGGTCAAGACATAAGCCCCTAACCTATTCCTACACATACTCATCAGGATGATAAATTTTGGACTATTTATATTTTAATTTGGATAGTATCATATATTTTTACTTTATATTTAATAAAATAAAAATTTAATAAATATTTTATTACTAATCTGGTTTATATTTAATTTGAAGTGTCTAAATTTAATGTTAAAATTTTTATAAATTGATGGTGCAAATTTACTTTGAACAATTTTGATTTATAATTTTTAACTTATAATTTTTAAAAAAATAGAGTGCCTTTTAAAAAGTGCCAGTTAGGAGATCATTTTAAGTTTTAATATTGTATTTATCAAAATAAAAATTTATAAAAAATATAAAAAATTTAATATAAAATTTAGACTGTTTAAAATACATTTATATAATCAATATATAAAAATTGTAAAAAGAGTTAATATTAAATTAGTCTCTCCAATTAAATTTGGATTAAATTGGTGATGAATATATTTATTAAAAAAATTTATAATTTTTATTTTAACAAATATAAAATAAACACTTTAAATTTAGATCCAAATCTCATCATCCTAAAGAGCTGATTAAGGTAATAATGAGCATCAAAGATGACCCCTCAATATGTCATTACCAAGCGTAGTTGCTCGTTTACACCTAATGATTGCTTCGTCATATCTTTCAGTGCAATTTTTTTTTTCTTTTTTGGTAACTTAGCAACATGAAAGTTACTTGTGCTCTTGCCTTGCCTCCACCCAAAAAAAAAAAAAGGTCCTTTATGTGTATATTTGGGCATGGACGATGAATCACAGAGGTGACGGGGTGGCAGTCAACGAAAATGAAGATAGCTACTATAGCAATCGTTGCGACGCCATTGGATGACACCGTCCAGTCGTCCACAGCTGACAAATAGTGACACGTGTCAAACAAAAAGGGCACGTCACCTTTCGTGTGGTGTCATCTTCTTACTCATACCTACTATGTACTGTTAAAAACCCGGCGTTTTGGCCTTCACTGACCTTATTTTTCTCCACAGAAATCCCTGAGTCGTGTCGTGACCAAGTTTGGTCTGGAAAAATCCAACAAGCCACATAAATTTCAAGGTCATGTTTGAACTTTCAACCGAACCAGCCAGAGTCTTAATCATGAAGTTAACAGACTGGCAAATAAAGCAGGCCCGTGAAATAAATTTTTAAACCAACTAGGGATAGGATAACAAATAGTAACAACAAGTAGCCATCGCATTTCTTACAGTAAGCAACATTAAATTTTTACACATTCGTGTGCATACCATGTAGGCAATCCTGCATAGTGGAATAAACTTGTATTTTTGTGCATAGACACGCCCGTACTAGAAAGGGCATCAGCCTCACAGCCTGCCTCTTTCGATTCAATATTGGTTTTACTACTTCCACCAAAATAAAATGCATTAATATTATGTTTGGATGTATATGAATTTTAGTTTAGATTTAAATTTAAGTCAAATTCATTATTTAAATAATTAAAAATATATAGATTTGTTATATTAAAAAAATATGTAGATTTGGATTTAACTTAACTTTAAATTCAAATCCTATCCCAATATCTTTGTATTTTAAAATATTTTCTTCCAAACTTTTATTTACGTCTCTCTCTTCTTTCACATTCATTCATCAACTTTGTTGCTTTTTTGACTTTGACTTTGCTCCACGTGAGTGGCGAAACTAGGATCTTGAGTCAGGAGGAACAAAATCATTTACATATTCATAATTTAAAAAAAATAAACAAAAAATATTTAATAATTGCATACCTTATAAATTTTTTTTTACGTGATTTCATATTTTGGAATCGTTAAACAATTAGCTCATTATCAATGCTTTTAAATATATCTTTTTTAATATAAGTCACGAGATAATCATTCATTCATGGATTTCTCATTCGATTGTGCAACCAAATTTTTACAAACTTTATAATAGAAAAGACTCTTACAATTGTTGCTATGGCAATAGATAATACCATTATTAATTTCAAGAAAAGATAAACTAATGGATAAACAATGTGTCTTCTAATTTCAACTAATTTTTTCACAAATTTGTTTTGAGATTTCAAGCGACGCGGGTGAGATCATTTTTTTTTCTTATTTTCTTATAGGTTTAATAAATGTTAATTTTTTATAAAATAATATTACTATTTGGGTATATTGAAATTGTAGGCTAAAATTTATTGGGCTTTTGAGTTAAAAAAATTAATTTCGAATTTGAGTTAAAAAATAATATGAAATGGTTTAAAATGCAAATTATAAAAAAGAGAAAGTGCAAAATATAAATACTTATACACCATTTTTGTGTAAGTAATTTTTCTCATTTGAGCCCCCCTCAAATACATGTGGCTTTGCCATTGCTCCACGAGGATTGAACTCTCAACACTGATTGAGACTGGATGATCGACTTCAATTGGGACTGACCTCTGATACCTATTAAGATTAGACAACTGGCAGTGCATTAAGACCAAATGGCTAACTTCCACCAAGATAGGATGACAAACTTCAACCTAAATAAGACGGTCGATGCCAACCGGGACCACATGATCTACTTCTATTAAGACCAAGCCACTAACGTCGATTGACACCAAATGACCACCTTCAACTAGGATTGGACCTCCAAGCACTGATTGGCAGTCAAGTCTTAGTGAGCATTAGCGGTTTGATCTTGGTGAAAGTTAGCTGTCTGATCTTGATCAGTATCAACAGTCTACTCTTGTTTGAAGTCTCCTATCCAATTTCAATGAAAGTTAGCCGTTTGGTCCCAATCAATGTATATGGTCTAATTCCAGTTGAAGTCCGATCATTGCCAGTGGTTTGGTCCCATTCAACATGAATAGATCTTTTCCCATATGGTGCCACCTCTCTTGTCCCTTTGGACACTAGCAGTCCGATTAAGATTAGACTACTAATATCTAAGTTACTTTTAAATTCAAACATAGAATTTGAAACTTATTTAAAATTTTAATATTATAATTTAAAATTTTTTATATCACTCAAATAAACAATTTAAAATTTATGAATTTCAAATGTGAAGTATCAAATAAAATATTTCAAATTCAAACCTTCATTAAACAAGCTTTCCTTTCTTCTTGTAATTTCTTCAACTGCATTAGTGCAATACAGCTATTTATTCTCAATAAAGGATAAACTGAAATCGTCCCACTAGCAAGAGCCAAGCAATTCATCTCTTTGCTTGTATTCCCACGAAAAGGAAGTTCAACATAATAATATATAGCAAGTTGTTGTACTATTCACACGACTCGTCTCTTTAATTCCATACAATCCAGAGGCCTACCTAACTCGGATTATATCTTGCAAGTGAAATATTCATAGAGGCAGACTGAAGAAAAAAATGAATATCACTAAAATTATTATCATGAATGGACCTACACATACAAATGAAGCAATCAAACAAAACAAGAAGGCAAAAAGTGAAGTTGCTCTACAAGCGGTTTACAACCGTGGGACAGCTCGAGTGAAATGACAAAATGTTGAAAATGGCGTACCCTGTAACTTGAACTAATCTTTCTATGTGATATGTGATATAGCTGGCATTGTCACATGAAAGGCCGATCAGTGTTTTGAGAACATCCCTTGCGTTAAAGCGGAAAAGTCATAGTCCTTTCCTGACGACGACTGTGAAGGAGTCGATGATGCCGAAGCTGCTGGCTGAGGTTTGCTCACTCCTGGCGTTGCTGTACCGTTAACTGGAGCAACTTGTCCCATCATATAGAAACTGCAACAGATGGCAACCAAATTAACAAAAACCTGAATAGAAGTGATTCACATCAGCAGCTACATTAGGTTTAATGTAGCAGAGGGTCAAGTAAAAAGACAACAGAAGGCATCAGAGAAGAGAGAAAGAGGACGATTGGCATTGTTGTAGATGAATACAGCCACTGCAAATCATGTAAAAACAAAATGCAATATGGACGCGTTAGATTAATGAGATCATATTTGTTGTATTGTTTGTGACTTGTGATTATACTACGTCAATATGGCAAATCTTCCCTGACCTAATCCCAGTGAATCCAAAGGAAATATTGCCACAAAAGAATGTCTCCCATTGGCTGGCCCTTTTTGGATGAATAGTTTTGCATTAATAATAAAATCCAGCGCATAAAGCAGCAAAATTAGTAGATGACTTTAGTGAATTTTCCCTCAATGCTAATGCATCAGCCATAGCTGAGAGAAATACTGGATGAACAAAACAAAGACCTTATGGCCGGAAACAGAACCCCAGGAGAGCCTTTTAGTACAGCATTTTACAAGCAACAACTGTCAATTAGTTTGAGAACCATAGCTTTTTAACCCATCCAACATGACCAGTCATGTGATATTATGAGTCAAACAAAATGAAAACAATTTACTTGATTTACAGTGACTTACCCGGATGGATATTGAGCACCACTTCCTGCAGGTTGGGCTGGAGGCATGCTCCCAGTCTAAATCAGAAGGGATATAAGTTTGGTGAGGGATGAAAAAAAAAAAAAAAAAACTAATCAAGTCACGCCTTAGTTGAGAACCTGCATGAGTTTCAATAGCTCAGCCTGATCAGGCATTGGCACAACTCCAGGAATAGAGTAGCCAACACCTGGCCAACTTTGTACAGCAACATTGGACCCATTCACTCCAGATTGTTGTAAACTACCAAGATTCTTGGGGTCCCCGCCAGCAGATTTAGCCGCGGCAGCCATTAGAAGGGACTGTTGCTGTGCCAGCATGGCAAGTTGTTGTTGGTGCATTGCAAATGGAGACACCATACTGGACTGCAGATATCCATCCCGATGGGTCAAGCAAACCAAAATGCATAAAGGACAAGAATAAAATCCACTAGAACTATTGTCTGAAACTTAGAAGATCCTAACATCATAAATAAAGAACTAAAGGTGACAACTTCTCAAATAAGAACAAAATCTATATTTCTATAAGTATTAAGTCAAAAAAAGTAGGACAGTGCATAACAATTGTTTTGAGGTACATACCTTCTCAAAGAGGCTCATTATATCATTTTTTACATCTTTCTGTTGTTTTTCTGGAACTAAGCTTGGTGTCACCGAAGGTGAAGATGAATCTTTAAATAGATCCTCAATTCCGGAAGCAGGTGGAGTACTCTCAACTGCTTTTGTGGGACCGGTCTTCTCTGCTCTTGACGCTTCTGTAGCAGCAGCTGAAATTTAAAGTGGACTCAGTTTTTAGAAGCACCTTAGAAAATATGTCCGATGACACCTGCTCTTACAAGCTCGTGGAAAATGTTAAAAAGGTCATGTAAAACGTACACTGAAAACCTGCCCAGTTATTATCATCAGCTGCAGCAGCAGCAGCAGCATCTGAACCATTTTCACTTGGGCCATCCACAGACAACATGTCAAACAGATCCGTAGCAAAGTCAACTTTTGCAGGGGTACTCTGAGGCATATCAGTAGCTGGCTTTGTCGTCTCAGCTTGAGGTTGTGGTGTGACTGCTTCCACTTTCTCAACTTGCTGGGGTTTTATGATGGGTATTGCCTAATCACAAGTTCGTTTTTTTCATGCTTTGTCAACCATAATTCTTTTCAAGCAGAAAGAAGAATAAGGAAAGTAAACACAAAACATGTGATAATAACTGGAATCGTTCATACTACTAGCTTATAACTGGTTAATTCACAAAACTAGTGCCAAAATTAATGTCTCTCTGAATGATCACGTTATTATGTTCCCCAAAGATCCATCACTATCCTAATAAGCCTCAAATATAACGTCCCAGACGGGATATGCAAATTCATTCCAGTATAGTACACTTTCAATTCTCAGGGACACAAAAATTTAAAGTTTTCAGAAAAATTAAAAAAAAAACAAAAAGCTCTTGAGGAAGAATTTAAAGTTTGCAGTATTAGATAAATCATTTTACCTGCATTATGAACACGAGAATTCCCATGGATAATGACACATGAAATGCCATATCAGGCATTCCAGTCACCAAATAAAACTTAGACACACGTTTAACATATGCTTCAATGGTTTCTCAAAGTTCTGTCATATACCATTTTTGTTAGCTATTTCTCTTCATAATTATTACATTGGCTACACTCCCATGCTTAAGAGATCTCACACTAAGAAGTATAAAGAGTCCATTTCAGTTTCAGAGCTTCTGCAAATAGATACCGTAGTTTTCAGTTTTGTCCCGGAAACCCCTTCAACTTTGTAAAAGATCACAATAGAAAATTCTATCCATTTGTGGTTAGTCAAATCACTTTTGTTATCATCCCATCCCCATGGATCTTTCACAATGTATCCCAGCTTAGAAAGTATAAATTTAACATTGGCCGTTCCACCCGCAGAAAGCACCAATTGTGGAGTTCGTTAAAGTTAAAAGCATTGATAGACAAAAGTAAAAGATGAGGAACCTATTTGCCAAAGTTCCAAAGATGATGGATGTTCTGTACATTTTTTCATTCTACGTTACTTGGATTGCAACTAAAAAATATAGAACTAATTCATTACAAGAGAAGAAAAGAATGGATTCGCATAAAATAGAATTATAATGTAAGGAATAAGACATACCAGCTGAGGTCCTTTTGGGGGAGCGGAAACAGTGAATTTAGCAGCAGGAGCTGTATTTGATGGCTGAATTTTCTTCCTTTCCTCAAAAGTATTCTCAGAAGCAGATGCATGAGAACCATGCGTTCTTTCTGCAGGCCTCTGCCAATGCGAAGAGGCATTGTCTCCCTGCAGTCTAGAAGGTGATTTTGGTTTCCCATCCTTTGCTACCCATCTCTTCTCTTCATATCTTGAATCATACATAATGATTTAAGCCAAGGGGAAGTAATTATCACCATGTGCTCAAAATAATAAGCATCTAATTCCAACGTAAAAAGAAAAATATAACCCAGATCTGAGGGATGTATTTCTTTACATACTTTGCGCGAATGAAATTCTCAATTCCAACTCTATCATAATTTGGGGGTAACTCTGATTCCCAGTAACTATTTGCCTTTTCATTTCCCATTGCTATGAAGGACAATAAAACCAAATATATTATGAGAATAATGTAAAACTACTGAGAATTAAAAAAAGTCTGTTGTAGGTGCAAACTAATGACTGATCAAATTCCCTTACATTGAATGAAGGCAACCTGCTCTGGGAGCCAAGTGTCCAAAGTTGCAGAACGCACCTGAAAAAACCAAAAAGCAGGTAAATAATTGAACAATGCTACCAGCTGAATCGACAAGAATTTATCTTTAGGCTGTTATGAATTCATGACTAAACACTGCTTTAAGAAGTCAAGAGCTGGGAGCTACACTATAGTGATTAGCACATCAATTGAATTAGTATTAGCATTTGATTTCACACAAAAGTAACATAAGAAAATTAACTATCAACCATGGTCAGAAAATTAAAACTGCATAAACATCGTGAAAGCCATAGTCAGAATTCAGAAGTAGTGAAAGCCCATTCTAAGCTATAAAGTGCTGTTTAAACAAGTATGTTTGTTGTTAGCAAACACCTATGGTTTGAAAATCAAATTCAGAAGGAAAATTTTTATATCACAGAAGGCATTTGTTTAAGGGAACATACACATGCAAGTTCTTATAGTTTCACTCAATTTTAAATTTGATCATTGCATTTTTATTTTGTTTCAATCAAGCTCTTATACTTTCATCTATTATATATATTAACCCCTTGAAAATTAAAATTAATTAATAATGAATTATTAAATCTTATAAAACAAAAATATCCTTAGAGTTTACAGAAAATTTAATTTAAAACTTTTAGCCAAAATCAAAGAAAGAAAATTTGATTTAATCCATTGTTTACATTTTTATTATATTTTTTATACAAAATTATACATGTATAAAAAATATTTAAAAGATAACCAAACTATATAAATTTTGAGTTACAAAAATAATGTAATTAATTCTAAAGCCATCTAATCATTTAATAAAAATATAAAAGTTCTCAATTTTGTTTTTTTAAAGAAAAAACGTAAGGATTTTAATCTTCAAGAATTGAAAAATTTAATTGATCAGACTATAAAGGCTCAATTAAAACAAAATAAATTGTAGGGACTTAATTCAAAATTGAATGAAACTTTACCCTTTGTTTAAACACCTATATTTATTTCTAGAAAGAATTAGCACAAGAAGCATGACGATACAAAATTTTCAACCAAAAAGTTCAATGCGGTTTAGATTACTGAAAGTTTTACCCTGTACCAGTCACCATAAAACCCAATTTTCTTGTTATAATTTGTTTTCTGATATATCTAACTTAAATTAGCATAGCCATAAAGCTAATTAAAAAAGAACCCATAAACAGACTCAAACCACTTCCACTTTGAAATGTTTTTGTTAAATTGAATCACTATTCAAATGACGCTGCATCACCTTTGATATATGTACTCCTAGACTTCGATGTATTCCTGAGCACTGCATGCATATAAAGATGCCTAAGTTCACACTAGCCCATCTCGGTCCTCTGCAGAGCAAGATTATAGAACATAGAGTCAAATTGTTGAATCAATAAAAAGTAACAACATGTAAAATACATAACCGTCCATTTTTATGGATCAATAAGTATATTTTTACTTGGTTTCCCAATCTCAAGAGATCCAGATCAGAAATTTAGATGCGACCAGATACATACTTAGCTTTGCAATCAGCACACTCCCTATTTTCTGGTAATTTAAGAAGTCCTTCCAGTATCTGCATGTTTCAGTAAGGAAAAGATATTATCGCATAAGGAAAGGAAAACACACTACGACAAATTTCAAATTAAGAAACATTAATATAAATGAATATCACCTGTACCAAAATAAAGAATTGTGAATGCAAATTCCACAACATACACTAAACTATGGACGCTTCATACTGAAAAACTCATTTCCAATCAGTAGAATTGAAACCAGACCCAGATTTACATAAGTGATAAGACAAAAACCAACCATCCAAAATTTAGAAGAATGCTCACAACCAATCTATCGAGTGCCACCCTTTTGATGGGTTAAATTATCCTCGAAATTAGAAAATTAGAACTACTCAGGTAACTTTAAATACGCAAAAACTAAAATTATAAAAACTTATAAATCAAATCGAAGCAAGGAGAAAAATCTGAAATTTTATGCCGGGTAAGATAGATTGTGAGAATGGATAACACAAGTACAATGAAATTAACATTGGGTCCTACAGATCCAAAGTAGATCATTGAGCGGGCAAATAGCATCAACGCAACCCAAAAAAAAGAAAAATGGAAGATTTAAATGCATAAGAAATAAACGCGACTACCAAATTACTATTCTCAATCCCCACCAAGCAACCAAGACAGCTCACATCAATCCGTAAACGTATCATAAACAGGTAGATCAAGCTCTCGCAAAACAATTATCCGAAACGACATCTCTACAAGCTAATTATACCATAAGCTTACACGCTCGGGGAAAAAAACATCAATTTATACCTACGATTGGCTGATATATATATATATATACACACACAAATAAGCGTGCGATTAATTTCATATCCAATCACTATTCGATCCCAGGTAACATCTGACAACGGGTTCGACAAATTTTTTAAATTTACAAATTTAATTAAAAGAAAATGAAAAAGAACCTTTTTATGCTTGGCGTTGAGCTCCTTAGACACGTTAGCCTTCTCGTTCATGGCGGAGCGCAGAAACAACAAAAACGAAGACGAAGCAAGAAGATGGAAAAGAAAAATCTAAGAGAAGCGAGAGAGAGGAAGATGAAAACGAAAGGCGAACTGGGTATTTTTCACGCTTTTCTATTTCCTCTCCCTCCCACTCCTCGTCGTCTGATTATTGAGCGACCAAAAAAAAAAAAAAAAACCAGGACAACAACAGAGAGAACCGAGAGATCACAAGGGAGACATCCCTCCTTGACTTTTATTATCTGCGTTTTCCCCTATATTTTCTCGCTTTTAGTTTTAATTTAAGTTTTATTGGCCCACTCGCTTCTATTTCTATTCTTGCTTCTTATTTTCGATTCCTTTTTTTTTTTTTTCTTTTTTTGATAAACTTCCTTCGATTCCTGTCACTTTTCCACGCAAACATGTTATGTGTGTGTTTGTGTATTTTATTTGTTTGGCCGAGAAGAGAGAGAGTGATGAGCTGTGTTAAAGACATACTTTTGTCTAAATAAATAAAGAAAAGAAATAGTGATTGAGCGAATGGAGTACCTAATTCTGTCCTGATGTGGAGCCCGTGGATTATAAACCATGAAAACAAATCTTGTCAAATATATATATATATTTTTTGAATCGTCAATATTAACAATAAGAAGAAAAAAAATGAATCGGTTACCTTTTCTTTAGAATGATTTGATCGAGAATGTATCCAACTTTGAATAATTTGTTGGCCTCCTAATAGAGTTTTTGAAGTGAAAATTACCTGCGATATGTATTTTCAAATTTGTATCGGTTATTTCCTGTCAAGATTGCCCTATGATATATCCTTTGTTAAAGCATTCATTTACTAGATCTTTCAAAAACTCTCATCTAATTAATGAAAGTCTGAAGCTATTTTTTTAAGTTAAGATTTATAATGTTAGCTTTAAAAAAAACTCTTGTTTATTGATGATGCCGTAAAAGTGTAAATTAAATTACGTGTGGCTGAAGTTCAAGACAAAATAGTCCACTGACGCTATTCTGTCGCTTTTCTCCATGGGCAATTGAAAATCAATACATGCAAGGTTTGAAGTGAAAGCCAAGAAAGCAAGATATTTCTTGTGTGTGAATAATTAATTTATGAAATTATTTATAAATGATCAATCAATCGATTAATATCTAAAATCGATAATAATTTTAGTATGCCATATACTATCCAAGATAGAGAAAGAGGAGGCATGTGACATGCTCCGCGTGTATGACAGGATCGGGGTTGGCCTATTGGCCCTTTGGTATTATTTGAAAAAATAAAATCACTGAGCTGTGATTGTTTTCTTTTCCAGAGAGACATTTAGATTAGACTCACACATCGCCCGTGCGTAGCTTTTGTGTGTGATACTGTGTAGTCTGGTTTGACTTCTGTCAAAAATCAAGAAAGAAAGAAAAATCAGTGGCATGTAAAGATCGGATGAAATGCATAAATTTTTAAAAAAATGATAATAAAATTACTTTAAAATGTATAAATGATGATTTAATTTTTTAAAATGTCATAATTTCTAAAAAAAATTTAGAGACTTTTCTATCATTAATTAATTTATATAAATTACTAAACTGTCATTGTTAAAATTGAATAAGTCACAATTTTATTTAAGTATTCACAATTTTTTTATTTATAATAATAACAGCAAATAAGAATTTAACATATAAAGTTATGATTTGTTATTGTATTGTTGTGAATATCAAGAAAAAATTTGTGAATATTTAAAAAAACTTATAAGTTATTTATTTTAACAAGAATAATTTTATAATTTATATAAATTTATTAATGACAGAAAATTTTTTAAATAACTTTTAAAAAATTATGACATTTTAAGATATCAAATTATTATATATATATATTTTAAAAAAATTTATTATCATTTTTTTATATTTTTATTATCGTTACAATTAAACCATGAAACATCGGACCTCAATAGCTTCAAGGCAAAGAGTTACGGAATATCCATGAATTTTGTCCATCGGTCATTAATCAAAACTATAGTATTACTCCAGTTTGCCCAGCTTCATAGGGGGAAGTTAAAATTAAAAAAGAATTTTTTTTTTTGGGGGTCTAAGTCCATTAATTTCCTTCAAGCAATGGGAGTTGGTGAATTACAATTTACAAAGGATTGATTACAGCCTCATGTGAATCGATTTGATGAGGAATGGGTACACCCAATTACCAGTCCCCCCCTAAAAAAAAAAAAACCAAAAACGAAACATGTTTAAGAATGATGATTTTTCCCCGTTTTTAACTCCGATACAATAAAATAATAATCGAAATGTGGGGCTACGAGGCTCACTTGATGGTGCCTACGTGGCAGCGGGCACGTACGCAAGGGAATGCCCGGCTTTCAATATTGACGTGGATAATCCAAATTTAAAATATAATTTTATTTTATATTTTTAAGAATAAAAACTAATAAAAATTATATTTTTTTATAATTTTTATTCTCATCTGGAGTTTGATCTGATGGACCAAGTCACTGTCATGAGCACCAAGATGAGCCCATTCATATCCTCGTTTTCAAGGTTCCAGTGGCCAGTATTGAATTTCTAATTTCTAGCTTTCCCATGAGCACACTTGTGCAAACCTCTGTTACATTCTCGACCTTTAAGTCCGTCTCCACTTATGAAGACTTATACAAGAAGCGAACTCTCTCTTTCTCCGTTATAGTAACAAGGCTTGCTTCTATTCATGACTTTGGTTTCAGTTCAACAGGGTTCGGGGAGAGATGGCGCTTCCTGGGAGAAGCGAGAAGATTCACGAACAAGGTTTTATTGGAAGAGAGGATATGCAAGGGAAAGAAGAAGAAGAGCAAGAGGATGGTGTTGGCGAAGAGTAATCAAGGTTTTGGCTTCAACGATGGTGGTGGTGGTGGAGATAATGGGACTACATCAAGGCTTTTGGCCAATCTCGCTTTAGCTATTGGCTTGACTTATCTTTCCATGACAGGACAGCTTGGCTGGATATTGGATGCTATTGTCTCCGTTTGGGTAATGCTCTCTTCCTAATCTGTTTGTCTGCTTGGCCTCTAGAGAATTTTGGTAATGATAATTGGCTTATATTCCAATGAAGCTTTCCTGCAATATTAGAAACGCATGTTAATGAATCTGCACCTATTCATTCAATCATTCTATATCATCCTCTTTATGAACAGTCCATCCCATTAAATCCTCTATTTGAACTTTCTTTGTTATCATAGTTCAATGACATTTCAGTGGGTAGAAATTAGTGGAGCAACTGAATAAAGCAACAAGTAATTGATCATGTTGCCGATCCATTTTAAACATTCAGCGCCACCAATAGATAAATTCAAAATTCCTTGCTTTTAGTTTGAAATCTCATGGAAGACCAAAGAATGGCCTGATAGTGTACACCTGTGAGTCTAGATTGCATAAAAAGTTTTACATTTCAAATCCATGAGTTTGCCCTGGGAGGCTTCTTATTTCCTGTTGTCGCATTATTTGCAGTTTTCCTGTGGAAATTGAAACACCCGAGGAGAATAACTCTTATTTCTGGGTTGAATTTGATGTTATGTATATGTAGAATTTTTACTCCAAAATCAATATATGTAATTGGATTTGGGACTTTTATTTTTCTTCTTTTTTTCATTTGCAGATCTTTGCAGTGCTAATACCAATAGTAGGCATTGGTGCTTTCCTCTGGTGGGCAGGACGAGATATAATGCAAGGCACTGTGAGCCACCTTCAAATTTTCACTCTGAAACTCCATTTGTAAATTCAGATTATGTAGGATATATTGAAACTTAATCACGTTCTTTATTTAATTGTGTTTACTTTCCCTATAAAAGTTACCTGACCATATGTAATTTTTGAATAAATAAGTGCAATGATAAATTTTTATTAGCGACTAGAACATTGGTTTGCTTAACACGTTTTTTGGAAAAAGGAAACTGTATCATCAACATCTCATAAGAATTTCTAGTCTCATCTATGTATGGAGACTCTTAAGATATTTTGCATTCATTAAGTCAAGTTGATTATCCACAAGAATGACAAATATTTATATTGTGTATAGGCTTTCAGCCAAATGTTTCATAATCTGAGGAACAGAGGAAGAAGTAGAAAAAACTCTTGGATCCAATCCCTCTTTTGCAATTCATGTCCATTTTAAGTCTTTAAACATTGTGTATTTTGAACTGTGGTTATTAATGACATTTTTTTTCCAGCTGGATAGTTGTTAGGAAATTGACTAGTCAGGAAAACCAGTGAGAAAAAATAATTTATATTGTGTCTTTTTATCCCATAATTCATTTCATTTTCTAATACCATTTTGTTGATTTGTTACTTCCACTGGTGTTGCTCTTTCTGTTGTATATGCAGTGCCCTAGTTGTGGAAATCAATTTCAGGTTTTCAAGTAAGATTTTCTCAAAACATGCTACAGTCTAAACTCATGTGATTTGCTTTTTATTAGTTCTCAATGACCCTTTGCATATTATTATTATATTTTTTGTTTATCTATTGCAGATCCACTCTAAATGATGAGTTGCAGCTGTGTCCTTTCTGTGGTCAACCTTTTCTGGTAAAATCCACTCTTATATTGTTTTCTTTGCATTATTGATTTCAACCCTTTCCGTTATGAATGGTGCATTTGCAAGCTTATAAACATCCCTAAATTATTTCAGGATATAGTTTTGAAATTAATTGACTGATATCCTCAATTGCTTTTATTCACCAAAGGAGAAACCTTTTTATCATTGATAGAGACATCTATACCAATGTGATATTTCAATGCTACTACCATTTGATGGTTTCGGAAGCAGTAAGAATGAAAAAAGACTGCTTTCTATCTAATACTGTCATATAAATTTAGTAATATTCAATCAATGAATTGAAATGTGCATGTTTCTCACAGTTAAAGAAACTTTCTTTTTGATATCAGTTGTTGGCAACGAGTTTGTGAAGGACTCTGCGAAGTTTTCAAACCAATCCACGACATTTGGACAAGCGTTCAATGACTTCTCTCGTTCTAAAAATGGTAATCCTTCCAATAGTTGTCTTGATCCCTTCCAGTGCACAATGCGTATTGTAAATTTGATAATTTCTAGTTTGTTTTGACTGTTGTAACAGGAAAGGATTCAGGTGGAGTGATTGATATTGAAGCAGAGATAAAAGATGCAGACTGACTTTAATTGAGGAAGGTGAATATATTTTCTCGTAAGATTTGTTTGGTTGCTTGCTTATAGAAGAATGTGATCAATGGAAAATTTTCTACCTGATAGGTGTTGGATGACCAGAGTTACTAACCTATCTATTTTGATCTGTATGCGTGTCATTCTCCAGCTTCGCTGCATGTGCATGGTTGAACTCAATTAGCAAAACCAGTCTTTGAATTGCAATTCCCAAATCTCACCTAAGATAGGAATACTTGATTGTTCTTTATGCAACAATTTGGTATGAATAATGGGTATTTTGGAATATAGGACTGACAAATTTAATAATATTCTAAAAATTTGCATGCACATGTAAGCATGACTTAAAGATTCGACGATGGATTATAGTGTGGTTTTGTACTGGCATTTGAATTTTGTCTATCTTCGGCGACTAATAGCTTACTAAAAATTGAATTGCATTATCAAGGTGCATGTAATGGAGATTTTTGAAATTTATGCTCTGAAAGGCGGTAGGCATCATATTCAGCAAAATGGTGTACATATTTTAGAAGAGAATGGAATGCTGAGTAGGCATGCAATTGTTAGTTGTTACAGAAGTTTTTCGCCGTGATGATTCTCATGTCAGGCCTCTGTATATTATTTTGCTTAGTGATTCTTTACTATGTAGTTCATGAAGGGAATGGGAATTTGTATCAAATTGGTTATCGCTGCTGAGTTCATTATAAGCTCGTGAGAATTCTCTGCTGAGTTCTATGAAATTTACCTCTGTTTCTGTGGATAGATTACTGAACTTTGTTCTGGTCCTCGTCGTTTCTCTTTGAGATAACACTCATCTCCCTTTCGCGTTATCCCTGGAAACTGGAAAGAAAGAAGAATAAATGGGAAATGTCTAATGGGTTTTTATTCCAATGTAATCCGGCGTCCACATTTGATTGACTGTGGACCATGATGAGACGATCCATGCTCCACTAAGCTTTGACACAAACCTCAGCTTAGCTGTCAAAGCAAATGAAAGCTTGTGCTAATCAATGAAGAAACTAGAAGGGGTGACTATTTTCTAAATTGATTTACCGTCACGCAGAACAGAAACTGTCACTCAAAGTGGCGTCACATTATAGAAGTATCAAAATCCAGAGAGCTAGAGCCCAACAAATAAACTCTTTCCGTATGTTATATATAACAACTTCAAGCTTTTGTGATGGTTCTTCGACTTTCTGCAATGAGACATGAAACTAGAAAAGGGTGAGAGAATGCCATACTAAAACTTTCGAGGCATAACAAGTCATATATAACTGAAAGACCACCAACGCATGCACATATGACGTGCAGAATAATCAAATTGTGAAGTTATGGATGCTACATAGATTATGGATGGCATTTCAATGTGGTAAAATATCAAGCCAATCATATTTTGTACATACAACCTGACGACAATTATTAGTACTGGAATGCTCCACAACCTTAACACAGGGAGGGTGTTTTGCAACTTGAACCTAGAGTTGCTACCGAAAGAGCCACTCGTGGAGTGAAATGCTTAAAAATTTAATCCTAAGGTAACAGAATTAAGGCCCCGTTTGGTAGTTTGGAATCATGGAGAAAGAAATGGAATTGGACATGGAATCTGTTAACATGTGTGTTTGGTATGCAATAATTATGATTCTTTGGAATCAGGATTCAAGGAAATTTGATGGAATCCAATTCCATCATATGCATCATGGAATCCAATTCCATGGTTCCTTTTCTCCAATTTGCCCCTTCTCTCTCCTCCAATATAATTTTTTTTAATTTTAAAAAGGACACTTTAGTCTTTTCTTATTTTAAATACTTATATTTTATTAAAATTATATCAAGATTCCATCATTATACCAAACACACTTTTAAATCCAATTCTATTCCAATTCCAATTCCAATTCCGATTCCGATTCCATTAAAAACTCTTCCATCATACCAAACATGGCTTAAGATTTTGGATAATGGAAAAGGAAATGAACGCTCCAAAATGTTCTAAGTTGCCTTCTTAACGGTTACATAAAAGGACATAACATCTTAGATGCTATCACTTGTTAAATAGAGATACATACCAACATTAATATGATGTTGTAAAGGCTTGATGATATGGGCATGAAGAATGCTCTAGTCAAACCCATATTCACTTGTTGATAGACAATTGAAAGTATAAATGCGCGTGCGCACAGGATTGATGATACGAAGCATCGAATTTATTTTGAAATCCAATTTATTTAAGTCAAATTTTATAAAATTTTCAAAAGCTTGAATGAAATCAAGTTAGTCATGGATTTTCACAATAAAATATTTGAAATAAATTAGGAATGGGAAATCTCAATAATTAAAAATCATTTTAAAATATGATTATTTCAAATTATGCTTGTGAATTTGAAAAACAATATATTTTATGAAATCATTATTTGAATGCACAAATTTTGAGAATAATTTCAGACTTTGTGTTAATAATAACAAGTTTCAAGCATTTGAGAAATGTACATAATTCAGTTTTAGACTATTTAACAATAATGAAAACTAATTTGAAAATAGTGAATTATAGATTAATAAAAGAATACAACAAGGACTAAGTGCTCATTACCCAAATATAAATTAATAGCATAGGATAGAATAAAGATAGATATCACCGAGATAGTGAAATATTGCCTGATTTGGTGTTTGAATGTCAAGTTTTCAGTTTTGCATGCATGATACTAATCCAAGTATTGACATTTAGCTCCCTCGAGTTTCTTTTATCACTTTCTTTATGTATTATACTCTTGAGGTAAATTTTCTTTCTTCATCTTCCTAAAAAAATGTAAATCTTTCATGTGGTTATGGTTCCAAATATAATTAAAAAAAAGAAAAATGCGGAAACTCAAACTAGAATAAGAAGAGAAAAATAGATCAACCAAATAAAAATATAATTAAAAACAAAGGAAAAAAAGAACGAGTAATAGATTTCAAAAACAAAACTACACAAGTGTTTTTTACAAAAATGAAAATAA